CCCCCCCCCCAACTGATTAATGAGGATCTCTGGTAAGCTCATTTGCAAAAGAAACCGAACACCAGCCTGTAACACAGAAAATGACATTCTGAAGCTCACAATGTCAGAGACACAATGTCTCAACGGAAATGAGTTCTCTGATTTTTACTTCTTTCTTTCTATGCAGCTGCTTTTCAGTGATTTTTATCTATAAAAAAAAAAAAAAAAATCATTCGCATTTAAAAACTCAAAAGTATGCAGCAATGTTGGACTGAAATCTGACAATATCATTTTGATAGACTCAGACTGCTCATCCTAATATTATGTATATTATAAGTCCCAATATTCATTCCATTATGCATTCCTATTAATATTTATCGCCTGTCAGCCTGAAAAGTTCAGCAGCAACAGACGCATTAAGAATAGAATATGAAGAAAGACTCAGATGATATTAGAGCTCAGGGGGTTGCTGTGGCGCGTTAAACCACGCTGAAGTGGGGCTGAGTGGGTACAGACACCTGACTCACAAATACAAAGTTAAACACATACAGGTTTATTTTTGATGGTGAAGAGGGATTAGGATGAAGTATGAACTTGTCCCCAAGAGATCAGGAGCAGAGAACTACTGGTATTGTAAGTGACCAGGATGATCTTGTACTCTAATGCGTATTGGGAGGAAAGGCCATTTAGGTTTAATAAAATGCAAAGGCAAGGTATTTTTAAAAAATAATTGGATTGCAAACATTTTACGTTCTGTTATCAAATCATGGCATCTCTTCTGAAGAAGACCTCTGTCCCAAAGCGAGTATTTGTTTTAGTATTTAATAATTTACCTTTTAAGTGTCTATAAAGTGTATTAACAGGCCTTAAATAGCAAAAGTACTGGAGTGTCATCAGCTCCATTTTCAAGGATGTAATTGAAGGGTGAAGATGAGGGCTTATTCGATCTTGGTGCTACTGTGCTGTTTGAAGCCTTTTTTTGTGTGTGTTTCTCTTGAATCTTGGCCTAAAATGACATTACATTACAAAAAAGTTTGCAATAACTGTTGAGGAACCACTTTTATACAAAGACTGGCTTTTGAGGGGTACTGGCTCTAAATGGCTGAAGGCACAAACCCTTGAAACCTTTAAGCTTTCAGTCAAACAAGCTCAGATAATTGATTGTTTTTGCTCACTGGTTCAGTTTGAATTCCCTCAAAAAGTTTATTGGTGGCCAAGCAGCATAGCTGTGTAGGTACCCATTCTTTTCTGAAGTCTCTTAACACCTCTAGATCCAAGTGCTATAGTGTCTAAGCAAAGGGTCAAAGTCATTGGTCAAATTATTTTCAATCTTTGCTAAAATTGGGATAGATTATCTTCAGATTAAGCTTCACACAGGTTATCGTATTGATTGTTGATTCATCACAGCCAGCCGGTATAGTCAACTGCTCCTGAGGCAATATCTCACTTGTGGCATTTAACATTTTTGACATCAAAATGCACATCATAACTGCTGATGGTTTTTTTTTCTTTAAACAAGTATTTAGGGGTCTCAGTGGTGAAATATTCAATTTCATTTTCCATGGGTCTTTTTTTTTTTTCCCCTTAATTTTCACCATAAGATTTTCTGACAAAGTGTCACAATCTTGGAGCTTATTTTTTCTATCCACCCAACTAGCTATCTTGTCCTTATCCAGTTCAGGGTCATTGGACGACTGGAGCCTAGCCCATGTGTAGCCTGGCCATTCTCTGGCATCAACAAGACATTTTCTGTCTGAGAACCGCCGCTCACTGGACATTTTCTCTCTCTAACCATTCTCTGTAAACCCAAGAGATGGTTGCATGGGGAAAAACCCAGTATATCAGCAGTTTCTGAAATACCCAGACCAGCCTGTCTGGCGCAAACAACCATCCCTCTTTCAAAGTCATGCAGACAATGTTTCTTCCTCTATTCTGATGCTCGATTTGAACATGTCTTGATTGTCTTGTGCATGTCTGTATACCATGAGTTGCTGCAGTGTGATTTGCTAATTAGATATTTGCATCAACGAGTAGTTGAACAGGTGTCTCTAAAGGGGCTCATGACTGTAGCCGAATGGTCTAGAAATCACATCATTCGACTCCTTTTCTCATTTATCAGTATAACCGGTGGAAGTCCTGCTCAAGAACACACAAGTTGTTACACAGGCCATCTCCTTAGGTTTTGCCCAGCTTTTTCTATCAGATGAAGGATGTTTAATAGGTCAAGTGCTGTAGAGGTGCCACTCGACAATTTATTTATTTTTCCTCATTGATTAAAGTGTAATTGAGTTTATGATTTTTAGCTTCAGTAAAAGCTTCATGACAGACCAAATGGTCACCTGAATTTATATTATTGACGTTCAGTACTGTAACCCTACATGGCACATAGTCACTCAACACTTGAATATCACTCATTTAGATCAGGGTATGATATAAGTATACTCTATGAAATACCTCTTCAGTATTTTGACATTCTTTGACTCCTCTCTTCTTGACATTCTGCATTTATTTGGTCATTTTCCATATACAGACAATTAAGATCATTGTTTTCACGCCTGAGACTGTTAGGCTTATGTTTCATGTTTACTCCTATGCATGTAAAAATGATTTGCCAACTGTCAGTCCTAAATTACTAAATCAAATTTAAAGCTTATGCTGATTTTTCTACCACTACTTGTTAAAAAACCATTAAAATGAACAAAGGTAATAGGTTGAATATTGAGCCATAGTCATTACTGGTATGTTAAATCTAGAGACAAAAAAAATCCCAAATGGATCTTAATGATCCATCACTGTTTAATTTCAAGGAGTCATTACTTGTAATTCAGTAATTACTGAGTGCAAACATGAACTGTGCTCACAGACAATTAAATGTTTTGGTGTAGGATTTTAGGCGTTCATTTCTAGCACCTAACAGAAAAAAAGGACTCAAGGCAAAGTGCTGTAGCTTATTCAGGTTGGCACTGAAAATAAACCCTTTCTATCAGGTTAATTTACTGATCATCAATGCCATATAAACTAACTCGGGGAGCTGGCTAAATAAGCTTGGTAAACCATGTATAAATCAAGTTAAGTGGCTGTAGCTGATGTGAGCTGCAGCTCTAAAAACAAAAGAATATTTGAACCAGTGTGTGCTGTGGTTTCAAGCTATATTTTGAAGGGGCGGGTGTCGGGTGAACTGTCGGTTTATTTTTCCTTATATCCTCTGCGAGTGGTAATGGTTTGATGTCTGCCAAATGCCAATGTGAATCAGTTTCCTCAGCAAAGTTATCAGACCAGCAGCAGCTCTTGCTCTGGGCCCTCTTCTTCTCTTAATCCTTTCACTCAGGCCTCACTTTGGTTTTTTTTGTTTTGTTTTGTTTTTTTGCCTGCTCTGACTTTGCCGATATAAACGTAATAAACTTCTTGTGCTTTGGAAAAAAAAAAAAAAAAAACAACCCCAAAAACCTGTTTGCATCCACAAATGCAATTATTTTCTCTAAACTTTAGATATGCTAATGCTTTAGAGAATGTGCTTTAAATCCAATCATTTGTCTATTTGTAGAATGCTTGCACAGGGAAAAGGGTGTGTGTGTGTTCTCTGCTTTATGAATACTTTACTGTGTTGTAGTGGGTTTGGTTTTCAAATGTCTTTCAGGGGGAATAGAGAACATAAGAGCAGCAAGCCTGGACCTGAAGCTTAGGAGAAAACTGGGTGATGCAACAAGACAATGAACCAAAGCACACAAGTAAATCAATGGCAGGATGGTTGGAAAAATTTTCAACCCAGCTGAGATGCTATAGCATGACTTAACAAGGGCTGTTTAATCAAGACATCCCAGAAATATCATGATGAAATAAAACATTTTTGCAGGGAAGAATACTCTGAAATTTCTCTTCACCCTATGTTCAAGTTGCATAAGAAGCGACAGGAAATGTCTGATGAAGGCTGTTGCTAATACAGGAGTTAAGCAGTTCATTTTTTTTCTTCTTCCTCTCATTATTTATTTATTTATTTTTTTGTATTTAAACACATAAAAAAGTACTGTTTGACTGAGTTAGATCACATTTTAGGCAGAATCATTAGAGAAATCAAAGCAAAACAGCTTCAGCTAGCCAGGCAGAGCCAGTGGTGTGTGCAGTCTGAGCTTGGCATTATCAAAGATTACCAAAAAACAGTAGGGAATATTTAATATAAAGTTACATAATCTCCCAAAAGCCTGGACCTCTTTTTCCTGTCTTTCTTTTTATTTGCTACTTGGTTGGGTTCAAGTACAAAACTACATTGTGCTTGTTGGGTTAATTGGTGACTGCATGGCAACTTGCTAATTGTGTCTAGAATGCAGAACGACATATTGGCATATTTTACCCACACAGCCGATATTTATGAGGAAGAAGCAACTGTGAAATGGTTGGTGGAAACAATTAAAATAGTCGATATCCGATTTAAAATTTCAATGCAGTATACTT